CCTACATCTGTATGCCAATGTTCCAATAATCCCGATCAATTTATTGGACAGTTCTTATGGGTAGATAAAAGATTGGAATGTATTACAGAGGGTAAGTGCTGCTATTGCCATTATCATTCATTGGGGTGGGACGGTGACTGGCCTAACCGAGGGACGTTTATCCGTGCTTTAAATATTACTAGTCGCATTTTCTCGTATGCTGTGGCACTGTCAGTGCTGCCATTGCAACCGCGTCCATGACCCCTCGGGCACTTGCGCCGAGGCGACTCAACTGACCTGACCTGACCTGATTCTGGACTGGTGCAGGTCGGACGCCCAATGTAAAACAGGGCTAATGCAATGACTTTTGACCAATTCTGTTGAGCACATGAGGCGACTTATAATGACAGGCGCCCAGGGAATTTAAGTGACATGTTACCAAGTAATTTCGCTGTTCCCTCGGTTGAAATGCTTATGTTTCTTTGTCCTAGGCCCTTTCGGTTTGTCGAGACCGTTGCAGAGCTGGAATGATGCTAGGAATTAGAGGGAGACATTGGTCTGGGCGGCTACCCTGGGTCCTTGGTGCCTCGCATGAGGCTGAGCCCGTCTCGATGGATGGGCCGCCCAGCCCCACAAACGGTCACAATGCACCGCAAGTGAGCGGCGAGCCCCTACTCCGAAGAGCTTCTCACTTTTGAGTCCTGGACTTGACCAATGATTTGACGTTATCCTAAGAATGGAAAAGTCTGGACAGTTGATGGTTTAGATCAGTAGCGGCGGAACATCTTCAATTAAGGGGGGGGGGGGCACTGCCGACTTGTGGTCCCATTCTTTCCATGCAACGCCCATAGGGCTAATGTTAAAATGCCAAAATCAAAGGGGGCACGGTGCCCCGGTGCCCTCCCCGTTCCGCCGCCTATGGTTTAGATGCGTGTTTGTGTTGTTGGGTTAGGCTCATTTGGTGATAATGAGTCATGAGACCATTTTAGAGCCGGAAGCATAGGCGGCGGAACGGGGAAGGCACCGCAAAAAGGGGGGCACTGAAAGGGGGGCGTTTGAAGGTGTTCCGCCGCTACTGGCCGGAAGGATGATAGGTTTTGGGGGAAGACATTGGTCTCGGCGGGCAGTGGCACCCTCAAGGGCACCCTGCAGCCCTTGCAGTGCAGGGGAATCGTCGGTGCCAAGTGGCGTCATCTATGAGTGGTAGATATAACCTTAGCTTCTAATACTTAAAAAAAGACTTGAGATTCAGTGATTTTGGCGCAACTAAGACGATTGACTGCTTACTAACATCGCGTTCGATGTCTCTCGGACGGCAAAGATTCTACGCCGTCCAGCCAATCACGTTCCATAACCGCAGCCGATCCCCCGCTGACCTTGAGCGGGATTGGCCGGACGACGTAGAATCTTCGTCGGTCCGAAAGACATCGAACGCGGGGTAAATTCTAATAAATAGGTCATTGGCACTGAACATCTGAGGTGCAGAGTCCTATAATTTGCCCTAACCCAGAACAACAACAGTCCTATAATTTACAAGGTGCGAGAATTTGAAATAATATTTTCAAAAAGTGCCCCACTTTGTGTGGTGATCTCCACCTACATGCCCTCAAGTTCCTCGAACGGCCAGGCTATTTATATACACTGTGGGCCAGCCCAAGGCTATATCAGTCCCACGCACAAGGGGGAAAAGCTCAAAAAATTGAGCGCTCAAAAAATTGAGCGGGCCCCATTATGAAGGAATAGGCGAAACGATGGTATTTTAAAATGCCTTTAGCGTCACACTACGGCAAATATCGTATCCAAATAAGGTATCAATGGCAAGAGAGAGCAACAAGGTTTCTTCTCGAACACCCGCCGTGATAATTTATATCGGTGTTTTTGGAAAGAAAATGCCCTAAAGACGCTCAACTTTTTGAGCGCCACTTGTCGTTCGGGACCGCGATACTCAATAAATTGAGCGCCACGACAGACGACAGTCAGCTGGCGCTCAAAAAATTGAGTGCCGGCCAGCATCTACACTCAATTTTTTGAGCGTTCTCCGTGACAGGTGAAGCCGGTACTGGCTGCCATTTTTGATGTTATGTTCGTTGAAATACGTTAAACTGAGTTGAAACAGAAATGCAGGAAGTTGAATGCTACGTGGTACCTAAACTTTTCACAAACCCATGGCATCATGTCACATTTTCCGCTAGTAGTTTTATCGGTCGTCTTTCGGATTCGGCACACCTCAAATAATTATACAGGGCTTGAATAATCCGTATGAATACTGTATTAATTTCTCTGATTGTACTGGGAGAAGGGAATACGTGAATACAGAAAGATATCCACCCACGCTTGAATATTGGTGAATTATAGCAGAAAAAACTGTATTGCCACGGTTACAACTTACAAGGCCATCGGCCGCAAACAAACAAAAATACTATACAATGTGGGTTAGATTCACAAACATCAAGTGTGGAACACAGAGACGAGCAAAACAACATCACATTATCGCATGCCAGCCCGACCACATTGGAACCGGGTGACCTGCGACCGGAACCTGCGTCTTGCCAGCATACATCACAGGAGGCAGTGTCGTACTGCTTTGATCCAAAATATGTCATATAACAAATGTCGATATAAACGACCTAAGCTCGGACTAAGCTAATCATTATCAAATCCTTAACATGTAAAGGACGAATGGAAACATCGAGTCTCAGACCAGCAGTAGCAACCATCACAGTAGCAACATCACAAAGAACACGCGGCATTATCAGACAGCCGTTTTGTTATCGGGCTACAGGCGGCGACGGCGTGGTTGCAGACCAGCTGCGAGGTAGCGGCGTGCGGGCAAAAGGCGCGGGCACACCTCCATGTGGCCGTGCGGACAGTGCGCGGTCGGCGTCGCATAGTGGGCGGCATCGGGCTGTCCCGGGGCCGTCGAAGCCGCACAGGTTGTCGGCGCATGTGGGCGCGCGCGGTCACCACGGCCAGCTGCTCACCGCCAGCACAGACTGCGCAGCGTCGCCGCTCCGCCGGCCAGAACACGCAGACAACCCTTCTTGCAGTCGCACAACACGTCGCCAAACTCATTCACCTGCTCCACCATGTTGTTGATGTCACCGAGTCGTTCAAGTTGTGGCTCGTGCCGTCGAGCATGACCTGCCCGATCGGACACGGGTCAGCGGCTTCTGCTCCAGCGAAGTCTTCATCTTGGTGACGTCTTGCTGATCTCCACAAAGGCTGAGCAGATGACCTTACCCACAGGGACGGCTGACGTCCTCGCCAGCGACCGCTTGGTTGTGCAGACCTGCCAGAAAAAGAAAAGCTGTTTGGTGATCTCAAACAATTTTTTCTTTATGCAGTGGAACAAAATGGAAAATATGTCATACAACAGGAACTAAAAAAAGATGCAGCCTAGGTCGTCTAAGAAATGGGTGCAACATTGATAAAATTCTTCATTGAATGAATTCTGCAAATGCTTTTGATAAAATGTGTGGTGATTATAAGGAGACCACTTTACTATAAAATTGCTCAGGATTCCTTATCTATCTGGACCTGTAAAAATCATGACTGCACACCAACAATGAGCATTAAATCCGAAACCTCTACCAGGTACCTAGGGATAATTAAATTCTGATTCAGGAAAATATTTCACATCATACAAATAAAAACCTTTACTATATTGAAACTGAAAATGTGATGCCGATCCAGTGACCTAAGGATCTCAAAGTATAATAATGAATTAATCTATTATAAATTTGGTGGTGACTGTCGACTGGCGTCTGGCGGCCTAGACCTTGAGGCTTGAAAGTGGCCTTCCTTTTCCGTTGACTCCGATCCTCCAGATGGAAATGATATAAAGGATCATTTTTATCTTATTTCATATGAGCCAGTCAGCAAAGTGGCTATCCTGTTTCAGCATTCACACACACAATAGTTGACTGTCAGTCTGTCATGCTGTCAGTGTTGTGAAGTAACGAAGGAGTTGAGTTTTGTTGATTATAAATTGTGATGTTATGTAAAGGACTGGAAAATGAATGTGAAAACTATGGAAACATATTGGCAGAGTATTGTCACTTACTATCAGGACATATAGATAGAGAATACATTCAAATTAATAAGAAATGCCAAATATCAAGGTACTCAATCACTGATAGGAGTGGACTATCATATGTTTTAATGTCAATTATATGAAAGTTAAGACTGAAACTACCTTTTACCTCATCATACCTAATGAAAAATTGTGTGAAGAAAACATTCACAGCCTCTTTGAAGCACTTAGACCACTAAAAAACAAAAATTTCACGTAAATATGTTGTGTCTCCTTCCTTCAAAACATCATATCGGATGGCGCCACTTTCGTCGACAGTTACTTATCTGCACGCAAATCGAGGAAAACGTGAATTGATTGACGTTTACGTGTTTCCAAATTTAAAATCACAGCATATTCAAACTTTTCAGTGTACCTTTTAACATCTAAATATAACTAAAACGATAAAAACTTACCTTCAACACGAGGACGACGACAACCACGCGACCGGAGGTGTCGCGACGAAATAAACAAACGGCGCCGCCAAATGAAAAATATTCTCCGATATGAGTAATGTGAAATTGAGTCGCAATCATTTTGGGTAGTATGAAAAATGCTCTTTCCAACAGAACCCTAGTAAAAAACGTGAATGGACAAAAAATAACTTTTATTTCGACATAAATATTGGCCTGTTTTTAAGTCATCCTGGTATGCCGTAAGATTTCGACCTATAAATTGGTGTTCCCCCAATCATTGAAGCTTGAGCAGTGAAAAATATGAAAGCCTTATCTGTTTTACATCATTAGTGATTCTCCTAGGGTGTTGCCATTTCTCCCTAGGTGTTGCGAGTTGCTTTTGCAAAACGTGTTCCTGAAACGGCTCAATTTTTTGAGCCCTCAGCATTACGCCTATGGGAGCCTCTGACGTCACACGCTCAATATTTTGAGCGCTCAATAATTTGAGCTTTTCCCCCTTGTGCGTGGGACTGATATGGCCAGCCAATCTGGCCTATTGCTATCAATGCTAGCTAGCTGGGTATTTATATACATAAGGTCCGATCAACACGGTGATTATAAAAACCACACCACTCGATGAATTTTGAGCTCCTGATTCCATATCTGATAGTTATTCATGGCGCAACCAAGTTTTAAAGCAACTGCGCAATATTTACCGTCGCCGCCGGCCACCATCCCACGACACCCGCCGTCAACGCACTCCACCAGCCGTTTGCGCCACGTGAGATGGATCGAATGAATAAACTCCAAGGTTGAGTGAAAACGTTACGCTATTCTATCTCATTATGAAAGTGACGTCATGAAAATGATCGTGGCGAAGCGGTGCAGTGCCGAAGGCAATGCCTTAGGAGAGATTACAGGCAATGGTAAGTCAAATATTTTTAGGTTAAGTGGTTTTTAGGTTAACCGATTCCCCCTCCCCCACCCAAAAACCCCGGTTCCCAACAGTTTCCCCCAACTTTCATAACCATGCTTACGGCATTGTATTTCCTCCCCCACCCAAAAACCCCGGTTCCCAACATTTCCCCAAATATGGTAGCAAATATTTTTAATATGGTAGCACTGTTTTCCGCCGCATGTAAGCATCATATCTACATTCAGGATGTCAAATAACGTAAGAATATGCAAAATTTATGCTTGAAATATGGATCGGACTTTATGTAAATATTTACCGCTAGCTGGCCTGTCTCAATCTATCAATGCTATCAATGCTATAGAGATCTGGCCAATTTTGATTTCAATCTGGTAAAGGTGTGAAGAACTGAAGTTAGTGCAAGGTTTATGTATCAGAATATGATATCTTGATGTTGTTGAATTTTACAAGTTGGGGAATGAGTGTGGAATAAGTTTTGTTGAGTGAGATTTACGCAAGTAGATTGTTAGCAATTGATGACTTATAGGACAAGGTCAGAGCGAGCAATTAACCACAATGAAAACGCCAGGTTACGTCGGCCTCTCCAACCGCACCTTGGCTTGTCTCTTTGTGCATGTACTGTGCTGTGAGTGTCACAATCTGTTATAACAACGACGATGAGGTATTCCAACTCATAATTTAAATAGGATGCAAATAAGCAAACTACTGGCTCATGGCCAAAACTACCTGACAAATAATATCAGCAATAGTCCTAATGCTTCAAGTTCTAATATGATAATTCCAAAATGATAATTCTAATTCTAATGAATACCCATTTTTTAGAGTCTACATTGACTGTAATGCTCATGCTGCATGCCAGCAATCTACAAACTTGACCAGTAATGTACTGATTTAGCTTGTTTAGGTATGTTTATTTTCTCATGCAATTTCTTAAGCTTATTTTATATAGATGTTCAGGCATTGACATCTGCAGAATGTAGAAGCTTGTGTGATGTGCAGTAGTACTACTACTATTCATTGCAGTCCTTCAAATTTCAATAGTAGTGTTTAATCTCACACCAGGAATAAAATTAGAGGCTGTAGCTTAACATTGACAAGATTCAGGGTTGGAAGTTGGAACCAATGTGAGAGCATGGATTAGGTATTCCTGGATGGGACACTCCGCCGATTTTCCGACCACCCGGCGGCGGCGGCGGATTTCCCGACGGCGAGGGCGCTGGCGCCATTTTAGCATTGCGGGCTATGGGCGGAACGTGTCTTTTTGTATACTTTTGTCGTTTATTACTTACCTATAACCGATTTTGATGAAAATTTTTGTGAACCTGGTAGAACAGGAATTGAGGAATGTCATGGAAATATTCTTTTCCCAGTTTTGATTTAAGAAGTTGCTTAAATTCTGCTGACAAGTGAGGGTTCGTTATTACAGCCGAAGAGCCAATGTTAGAATATAGTGAAGTTTTATGCGATAACATGAAAATAAGTTGATATTTGTATTAAATCAGCAATAGGAACTTGTTTGACTGCCGAGGAACGATGATATTTGATGATAAATTGCATCGGCAAGTCAAGAATACCGGCTCAGTTTATTAACATCAGGTAATGATTCCGTATGTGATAGTGACTAAATGGAGCCATAATAATTATAAGAAAGTACTAAAAATTATTTAAAGTGTCTGAAATTGTGTCTTATGAGCTAAAGTTCGCTAATTTCGCCCTCCATTACCGCGTTTTTAGCACGCAAGCCGGTGCGGCGGCCGCCGGCGCACTCGCCGCCGATGTTTCGGAGCTCCGCCACCAGGGCGGCCGCTTGGTCGCCGGCGCTAGTGTTGGGGAATAGGGAGTGTCCTATCCAGGAATACTTCATCCATGGTGAGAGTGTACCCACCACCAGAGTGGAAAAATTTGAGGGTGAAGGGTCAAAATATTGACTCTGTGCATGACAATGGTGTAGTTTTATTGGTATTGCCTACTTTCTGTTTTGGCTCAAAGTGCCCAACTAATTATTCTTGCATTGTTTCTTTTTTTCAGAAATGCAGCTGGTATGCAACACTCAATGAGCAAGCAAGTACAACTCACTCTCCATCAGGAATGACCATTTAAGACAACAAAAAGACATGATTTTTCTAACTATGTATATTACATAACTCCCAAATAATATATGGGCAACATGTCCTTCATGAAGTAATGACATCCTAGCAATAAAAACGCCCTTATCCTTATCTCCCATGCTGCACTCCTTGATTCCAATGGCTTTCCTCCTTCACATGTTGATGTTGCCAAGTGCCTTTGGTGTGGCCATCCAACCGCAGCAGAATGGCACATTCGTCCCGGACCCAGTGCTGCTGCTCGCGGATCCGGATCTGCCAGTCGGGGATCTCGGCCCGGCCGGTCTCTCTCAGCTGGGAAAATCGGGCAGCATTGAGCAGCCGGCGCAGAACGTGATCCGGAGCCGCACTGACCCGGAGCCGGAGCCGGAGTTTGAGCTCCTCTCCGGGCCGGACGGTGGGGTTACTGTGACGGCGCGGCTACCGCCCGACACCGCCGACTCCCTGGAGCCCTACTCTGTGTTCCGGCTGACATCTCTGGACCGCTCCATCAAGCACTGCGTGCCGCTCGCGGCGGACGGGCCGGGCGTGCTGCGGGCGCGCGTGCGCCACCTGCCGCTCAGCTCCTACTGCGTCCAGCTGGGCTGCAGCTGCCGGGCGGGCCGGCCGTGCCGCCGCCGGCCGAGCCGCTGTCGGCGCTACGAGCACCGCGCCGGGATCGACATGCGCGCCTGGCGGCGGACCTCCAACGTGAGCGTCTGGCGTCACGACGACACGGCCGCCGGGCCGAGCGTGTCCGTCAGCGTGCAACAGACCGGGTTCAGGTGGGTCCCGCGGACGGCAGGGGTAGATTGACTGCTTTAGACCGGTTACAGGACAGCGGAGACGGGAATAACCCCAGGTAGTTGGGGCAGGGTAGTTAGTCGAAGGGGACTTGACCTGCTGCTAGTAACACTGGACGGCGAATCGGCTGTAAATCCCAATCCCAATGTACCTGTACTCGGGGAGACTGAATGAACCAGTGTTTGTTTGCTCTTCTACGGTCAGGCACGTTGACAATCGTTGACTGTATTGTTTTAGTTTCTTGGATTCTCACAGCGAAGTTTGCGATCATAATTCAGGGAGTCATTTTTATTCCGAGCTCAATTAATTGGGGGGGGGGGGGGGACTTCATTAATTTTCTGGTTCCCGTTTTTTCACCTAGCTCATAATTTACCGGTTCCCTAACATGCTACGTTAGATTGAGCCATCTCTTCCTGTCGTGTCTTTTCGCGGAGATACTAGCCCGCCTCCGTGTCTGTCCCCAGGTTCGAGTCATTCATCGTTTCCGTGCTGGGGTGCCGTGCCGTGCCTGTGTTCCAAACGACTGCGGCGGCCGACCGCTGGCTACGGCTGGACACCAACTGCTCCCTCCAGTACAACACCTCGCTGCTGATGCAGGTTGGTTACACTGTGGGCTGGGTTCAGCGTGCCCTGGTGGACCGGCACTTCCACAATCGAGTCGCTAAGTTTGAGCGCACATAGTGACCTGACCAGTCAACAAGGTCGTGATCGCCTTGCAGATAAATCAGGGACAATGCTGTTACAAAGTTTGCTCCTACCCCATCCTCCATCTCCTTTTGTAATTGTTTCTCAGTTCCCTACCCTATCAACGATATCCTCGTACGATCCTTACTCCTCGCCTGTGACGTCTGTCCTAGCCCGCTTCTGATTGGTGCCATGACATGACATACATGTGTGAGTGTTGCGTATGAGAGCAGCCGCCGTGAACGGGGCCATCATTCTGATTCTGATTCTGGTTCAGGTTTTGTCCTATGGCCCGTCACTTGTTACTTAGTCTTTGAGGTTCGGTCTTAGACGCTTTACTTTGTCAATTTTGTTCTCTTAGTTGATTCAGTGCCCGCACTTCATTCTATCACTTGGCATTTGACACTTTGCTTTGCAAAATAAATTACTAGTTCAAGATCGACTGGTAAGTTATTTGAACGGAGTTAACGGCATTAGGTCCAAAGTAAGACTATCACGAGAAGATTTGTATTACGAATGTTGACGAAAAGTGAAACATTCTTCGCTTAGATTCAGCTTAATCAGTTTAAATTTTTGCTCAGGTAGATGTATTTTATTAACATGAACCGCCTTTTTGTCACCCCAGACTGTCAATAAGTGTTCAGTTCGGGTCGCAACCGAATCCATCTAACCGCCGTCTCGCCGCCTTCCCGCCTCCGTTCGCAGGTGCTGCCCGACACGTGGTTCTGCGCCGGCGGCACGGGCGGCTGCCGTGATCTGCGTGTCCACATCGGTCCCCTGCAGCGGCTGCCGCCCAGCCAGCCGCCGCCGCTGCTGCGCGCCGCCGCGCTTCCCGGCTGGCTGACCGCCGGCCTGGCGCTCCTGGCACTCGTCACCGCCGCCGTGGCGGTCGCCACGCTGCTCTGGAGCCGGCGGCGGCACCGGCGCTACGTGGACCGCGCGGCGACCGCCGGCTGCTACAGCCTGACCGCCGGCGGCGGCTGGCCGGCCGCGCCGCGCGTGCTGCTGCTGCACCTGGCGCGCTCGGACGCCGAGCGGGCCGCCCTGCGCCAGCTGACGGCCGAGCTGCGGCTCCGCGGCGCCTCTGTCGTCGACAGTGACGCGCCCGAGTGGCGGCGGGCGGCGCGACGCGACGCCGCCGCGCTGGCGTCGGCCGTGGCGGCCGCCGACCGCGTGCTGCTGCTGAGCTCGCCGGCGCTGGCGGCGGCCGTGGCGGCCGGCGGCGGCGGCGAGCCCGAGCGGCTGGTGGCGGCGGCGGCGCGCCAGCTGTCGGCCGGCCGGCTGACGGTCGACTACGGCCGGCTGTACCAGGCGCGGCTGGCCGCCGACGCGCCGACGCTGGACTCGCTGGTGCCCGGCGCCGCCTACACGCTGCCCGAGCACCAGCGGGAGCTGGTGACCGCCCTGCTGGCCGGCACCAACCGCACCAAAGGCGCCGCCGCCGACGCGGTGCTGCCTGCAGACATCACCGTCGCCGAGCTGACTGTGTGAGTTGAGCAAACCCCGGGTCTCACAGAGGTCAGTCATCGTAACTGGCCTGTACGCTACCGCTACCGGTATTTAATTGTTTCCCTGTGATGACAATATGTTCGCTGCCAAGCATACTTGACCAGCCGCTGTGACATGATGGACGATAACTTCTCATATGGTGTTGGAATCCTAATTTCTGTTAGACCTCATAAGCATTCTTAGAGAAACCTAGCGTTCCTGTGGTTGTGGCCAAGATTGGTTTACTACTTGTGGCCATGCAGCGGTAGTTTCCTTTGCTTGGTAGCGCAGTGCGTGTCATAATAGTGCGTTAGTTAGAGCAGCTACTTTTTCAGCTGTCGATGGTTACTGCGTAAACTCCACCCATCGTGGTGATACCGGGGAATCTCACGGCGAATTGGCCGTCCGGTCCAAAGGTTGTGCAATTAGCAGGTCTCAGCTTCAGTGCCGCTGGCGTGCGGTGAAACCGAGCTGACTGCCAGAGTGGTCGTCGATGACGTCCGCTGCGATATTCTGCTCACTGATTGTGAGTGTGGCCCCAGGGCCGTCTCCCGTCACAGGACGTTCAAATGGGACGGCCTAGCCGACCCGATCCAAGGTTGCACACATTGGTGTTTTTTTTTAGGTTCAGTGATTTTTTTGGGTGGATTTAGATGGGGTTTAGGTGTTGAAATGCCATTAGTACCTCTGCAGCTGAGTTGGGAGAGGTTATTCACTTGATGGCGAAGATAAGCGGCGACTCACAGTTGGCTGTCGATATTTCGCGGCGTAAAAGACATGTGCCGTATCGGGCTACACTGCGCGGCTGCGCGCCACTCCCACGGCCAGAAAACCAAACTGGTAGTGCAATGTATGGTGAATATCCTCCAGTTAACCCACCATGCCACAGTAATGACAGCAGGCTGACAGCAGCTGACAGTGCATGCGATTTTCTGCTTGTAGAACCATGACATGATATCCGAGGGTTGCCTTTAAAGTGCCCGGTGTGGGGAGTAGACCTATCGCAACTTGTCCCTCTAGGTCAGTTATAGCTTTGCTTTCACTTGTAATTCTTGGTGATTGCCGCAGGGCGGCCGCCCAGCTGTGCCCTTCGGGGCATCTTGACGTTTGCTCATGGTGCGTTGTTTTATGATATTCGGCTAACCAAAGGTGCGTTGGGGTCTTTTTATGTTCCAGCATGATTAGCTAGCATAAGTATTTTTATATAAGACATAATTTACTAACGTATTTTTAGTTCAGTTTTGAGTGTTGTCGGTGCATGCCGTGGCCTGTATGACAGGGCTAGACGCTTCGGTACCCGACTTTAATGGCTAGTGTGGTACCTGAGCATTTGGTGATATCCATTCATGACTCATTTTCAAGCCAAATACGCCGTTATATTGGTCTCACTATTAAATCCATAGACATCACTGTGGAAAATCATGTTAAGAACATTTTTTCTTATAAACTGATCGTGATTTCGATAGACATTTACACATACAGTTCAAATGATTAGCGGTGACCATGGAATGATTATGAGGTTGTCGCGATGAATCTCATGACTTCTCACGTGGTACCTGATTTATCAATTTCACTAAAATGACATTTCATCATGACATAATAATGACATTAAATCAAAAGGGGTGTTTGCTTTTATTGAGGTACGCGGCCCTCGGGTGTGTCTTGAGCCATGATATATGAACTTCAGTTGATATGTAAACTGTCAATTAAATCAAAATATGTTGGACACCTGCGCCACATAAGTAACTATCCCTCAGTGGAGTTTGTGCTGTTTGTACCTCTCGTGTTCACTCTCGATGTAGGTAGTGTTTGGTTGGGGTTGCATGGTGAACGCTGTTTTGCGCCCGGCTCTGAGCGTCGTCGACGTTGCCCTATCGTTCCAGTGCTTATCCAATGTTCTGTGTGTTCTGTTTGCTAACTACTAAACTCCAGTCCCATCTCGCCGGCTGAGCCGACCCGCCCCGTTTAACTGCCGTGAAAAGTGATAGCTAAGCCAGAGACTGGGCAGATGACTGCTGCCACACTGCCCGGTCCATAGCTCATCCATCGGGTGATACAATTACCGGGGATACATGCGCAGACTAAATGCGTGTTACGAACGGATTACAGTTCTGAGCGAAAAGGAACATCATTTGTGATGCGTATCTACTTGTGCTTGTCGATTGATGCGCGCGCCTGTCTGCGCTGTGCCTGCGAATATGGTCAGTTTCCGGTGTTCGTATATCGTTATAGCTGTCACACAATTACTCTGTGTGTCAGTTCTTCCTATCTGTGCTGCCCGGTGCTTGCGACTTCCGCTTTGTCTGTTTGTGTATGTGCGATTACTGCCGCCTGCCACTGTCTGTATGACCTCTCTCAGTCTGTGGCTGGATTGGTGTCGCCCTCTCGATTGGTGCCACCCTCCGGATTGGTGCCACTCTCCGAGGATGAACCGTGTTCTGTCTCCGGGACTGGGAGTGGGTCTCTCTCTCTCTCTCTCTCTCTCTCTCTCTCTCTCTCTCTCTCTCTCTCTCTCTCTCTCTCTCTCTCTCTCTCTCTCTCTCTCTCTCTCTCTCTCTCTCTCTCTATCTCTATCTCTCGTCCCTCTGTTGTCTCAATTGTAACTGTCCTTCCTCGGACTATATTGTGTTCGTCTCTGGTTACTGGTCCTTGGACGTCCTTTTACTGCCAGTAGCTGAACCCTGGTTATTCCTCTCCTAAATATGCAGACTGCCGTTTTAGACTGCTAACCGTTTTTCGGGTTAATCGCGGTCGCCCACGCCGTTTCTCAGACGTGGCGTCTTGTTCTTGTTCGCCGTCTCGTCCCGCAGTGCTTTAATCTCGGGGAGACGGCGGCCTGTGGTATATTCGTGTTGTTCTCACCGGTCCATATCGCACGGAACGGCCCCTCTTGGTGATAGGCTCATATACTCAACTGTAGGCGCCCGTGGGCACCCTAGGATGTGACCTGGTGGATGTTGTGTTTTTAAACTATTGACAGTAGTGTCCACCTGAGTAGGTCTGGTTTCGGTCCTAGAAGGCGACAGGACACCACAAATCAATGTTGCTCACGACGCTGCGGACAGTTGTCCAGCCGTCCGCCCAGTCACCACCTCGTGCCGTACGCTGGTGATGTCCAGCTGGGTTGTGCATTGGTGATGGTGTATTAGTGGTTAGTGTACTATTCATGCTTCCTGACACGCTTTGTATGGCTCTCTGTAGACCGAACCGATTTTATAGGTGTTTATCCGGCATCACTCACTGCGACCCATTGTGCCTTGGTCTTCAATATATGTCTTTTTCGAACCAGTTTCTCTGGATGTGAAGTAGTTTGGTTCTAGATACGCATTTCGCCTACACATTATACTAATCCAACGATGCTATGCGCGAAGGTCACCCAGGGATTTCACAATCTCTGACAGAGAGAGGGGGAAAGCCAACGCATCGCTTCTGATCCACTGACGGCGACTCCCAAGACACGCGGATGGACTCTCGAATCGCGACTCGTAGCTACATCATGCATAAATGCGACATTCTGAATGGTGCGACCAGTTGATGCAGCGTGACGCGACTGCCGCGGTCGAACGGTGCAGGCTGGTGAAAACTTGCCTGCGGTCTCTTCCCACAGACGCTTTTCTTTTGCAAAGTACTAGACACAACGTTAAAGCGAAAAAGCATTTATTGCTTACCAAACATCTGCACATGACACGTCGCTAACGTGACTCTTTAACAATGGGGCACCGACTGTCGCCTTTCCACAGCCTAGCCCGGCGTCCTAACCACCCCCGGCTCACAGCACTGGGAGACCCGAGCCCTGACCACCCCCGGCTCACAGCACTGAGAGACCCGAGTCCCACACCCCGGCTCACAGCACTGGGAGACCCTGTGTGGGGTGACCTCACAGCGCCAACAGACCACGGCCCACAGACCCACAGACCCTGTACGCCACAGTACCACTGCATTCCGAAGTCACCGGGCCACAGCCAATACAGCATCGGCTCGGTTCGCCCACTAATGGGCAGAACAGCCTCGTTCATATCACCAGACCAGATCACTTCATTTCCACCCATCGCACGTTGCATGGCAGTTGTCACGCCCTGGCAAGATTCAATTAATCAGACCTGGATCCTATTATTGGAGTGTAATACTAGCGGACCAAGCGCCCGCCGCCTTTACTTGTCTTCAGCAAACACAATTGGAGATATAGGTAACCGCAGGGTGGTTTGAAATAGACATACGCAACATTTTGACGAAGCACTGACAAAGTTCACGTACCATGGGCGCAGACCCTGTAATGATAGCTAAGGGGAAATTTACGTAGCGAGCTGAAATCGGCCGAGAATCAAGCGAATCACAGTCTCGTACGATCGAGAGCAACATGTGACGTAAGCTCGTGAAACGTGAAATACGCTGGAACTCGTGAGTAAAGCGGCACCCTACAAGTCCTGTGCAAAAGTAATAGCCAGTCTCGCCCTGCACAGTGCACATCAAACAGCTAACCACTATCGGTCATGCCCTAATAAAGCATTGTCGGTAACTATCGGTCCAATGCCACTGTAAAACTGAGCTGAGCGTCAATCGCAACGTGCTAACCAAGGCCCAAGCGCGCTGATAAACATTACGGCGCCAACTACGAGCTAATGCATGTGACCAGTTTACAATATAAACATTGTACTCCGGTGTGCGGCGCACACAGCACAGGGGTTCCGGACAAAAAGTCAAATGATAAAAGGTAAAAGGATGATTAGTCAACAGACATTACGTCAAAAGCACGAAGTCAAAAATCTTAAAAGTCAACAGGTAAAAGGTCAACAAAGAGGAAAGTCAAAAGTCAAAAAGTCAAAAAGGATAAAACGTCAAAAGATAAAAAGTGAAATTGCCAAAAAGTCAATGAACAAAAAGCCAACTAGCATAGAAGTCAAAAGACAAAAAGTCAAATGGACATAAGGTCAAAAGACAAAAAGTAAAAACGGCAAAAAGTCAACTTGCCAAAAAGTAAAAAGAACAAAAGTCGAAAGACAAAA